TATATATATATATATATATATATATATATATATATATATATATATATATATATATATATATATTTATATATATATATATATATATATATATATATATATATATATATATATATATATATATATATATAATATATATATATATATATATATATATATATATATATATATGTATATATATATATATATATATATATATATATATATATATATATATATATATATATATATATGTATATATATATATATATATATATATATATATATATATATATATATATATATATATATATATATATGTATGCGTATGTATATATATATATACATATATATATATATATATATATATATATATATATATATATATATATATATATTTATATATATATATATATATATATATATATATATATATATATATATATATATATATATATATATATATATATATAGATATATATATATATATATATATATATATATATATATATATATATATATATATATATATATATATATATATATATATATATATATATATATATATATATATATATATATATATATATATATATATATATTATATATATATATATATATATATATATATATATATATATATATATATATATATAGATATGTATATATATATATATATATATATATATATATATATATATACATATATATATATATATATATATATACATATATATATATATATATATATATATATATATATATATATATATATATATATATATATATATATATATATATAAATATATATATATATATATATATATATATATATATATATATATATATATATATATGTATATATATATATACATACGCATACATATATATATATATATATGTATGCGTATGTATATATATATATACATATATATATGTCTTTAAAGATTTCTCAGTAATCCCAATGTAATATTATCCTTCTTCTTGTTGTTGAGTTTTTACGTTGAAAATATATATAAGGATTTTATAAGATATTTTCTATTGAGTGGACATAAGGTGATTTGTATATACGAATTACGCGAAATGTGCCCAGAGCTCGCCTAGAATCCAGGATTTCTTATGAAATTCTGGATTCAAGGCGAGCTCTGGGCACATTTCGCGTAATTAGTAAGAAAGGAGCAGCCTTATCACAGCGGTTAGCGTAGTTGCCTCAGAAACTAGAAATCTGTGGTTCAGCGCCATCGGAAAGAGGCGTGAATTTTTGTTTAAATACCCTGTGATAAGATCGTAAGGACTTCTTAAAACAACTTAAAAGAAAAAAAAAAAGGAATTCCTGTTTAAATGCTTTTCCGCTGTGTTTTGTGACGATACCGTAAGGTATTCTTGAGACACCTAAAATTAAAAAAAAATAATAATAAATAAATTGCTAGTGTATTTTGAATGAGTTTCAAAATGTGTGGAGAACCAGGTAAAAGTGTATAGAACGAATTGGTATAGGATCAAAAAACCAAGTTCTCACATTCATATTTTGATAGTAATATTGGATACAAAAACGTTTTCCATACTAATATTTGAAGCAGTTCCATCAAATGTAACTAATATAAATTCTGCACCACTTTTATAAAAAAGTTGTTAATTTTTGTAAATATAAACGACTTTATATAAACGCAAAACAAGAGGTAACTTAACTCAATATTTTAAAATTTACTTGAACATTAATATAGTTAAGTGACAATTCTTACTCTCATTCCACTAACAGCCAATGTCTCAGCTGGTGCAAAACGGTGGCTCAAAGTCTATACGGTGCAAAAGTATTTAACTTTAATGCAGTAGGTTCTCTAGTGAATCATGATACTTCTAAGCTGTTATCACTTATAGAGCAGCCGTGGCGCAGTGGTTAGAGTTCTGGCTCAGAACCCAGAGGTCCGAGGTTCGATGCCATCTCTGGCCCAAGCGACATCGGTACGGAAGGAAGCGTGAACTTCCTGTTAAATCCTCTCCCGCGGTTCTCTATGATAAGACCGCAAGGACTTCTGGGAGCACCTAAATACATACAAAAAAAAAAAAAAAACTTTGAAAAAGCAGCAGCATTCAAAGAACTGTATTCAGCTTTTGATTTAATATTAGGCCATACTCGCAATCAGTGAACAAACTTTTATTTAATTTCATCATAAAAATAACGAATTAAAAAGATATTATGTATTGTCCCTTTAAGCGCTCATGTGAGTTATTTCGATAAAATGAATAAATAAATTCAAACAAAAACCAATTAATCATTAAGTTGCCAAATTTTTAAAAGTATTTAATTTTGATTAATGTTTTTTGTGTTATTTTTTTGTTTTAAATTACAAGTTAAAGTCATGCATCATTCTTTCTATATAAATGGTAGCTAAACTAAATGGTAGGTAAACTAAATGGTAGGTAAACTAAATGGTAGCTAAACTAAATGGTAGCTAAACTAAATGGTAGCTAAACTACATTTTGATAAAAGCGTAGAATTGTCATCATAAGTAACAATAACTAATTTGATTTAAGATATATATATAAACAGCTAAAATAATTTTTTGAATAATTTTACGCAGGGTAATAACTACTTAATTTAATTCAAGAAGCTGTTTATGTAAACATCAAATGGCTTCTTACATTAAACTATTATGCTTTATGATAAATGTCTTCTTAAATTAATTTATTGTATTATGAGCAGCTGTGGCGCAGTGGTTAGAGTGCTTGCTTTAGAAGCAATAGCTTCTAAAGCAAGCACTCTAACCACTGCGCCACAGCTGCTCATAATACTAATGGAAATCTTATAGAGTAGTCATTCTTGCAGAAACTAGTAGATATATAGAATAGTGATAGTTTGTACATTGTTACAAAAATTAAAAATTGATACATTGACGAAAAATCAATTATCCTTCTGATTTAGGAAAAAATCCCGAAAATAACTTTATTTTTCTATGTGTTACGCATTCATTAAACTTAGTTTGACAAACTTCTGTTGTATGTGTTATCACCTGCTCGAGATAATTGAAAACTTCTATATTTAATTAAATTATTATAAATGTTTAGTCAGTTTTCAATTTAAAAATTAAAACGTATTTAAAGTTTATTGAAAAATCTCTCCCGATCATGTTAGTTTGTGTAAGTACTGCAGGTATTAGATGTTGAATATCATATTAAGATATTCTATATATTAAAAATAAGGACTATTTTGTAATTTTAATAAAGGGAATAATAAATTATTCAATACAATGACGTAGTAAATTTTTTATTTTAACGAATTGTTTGTTGTACGAACGGAATAAATCCTTAATTTCAAAGGAGTAATATCGACGAACTTCAATCCGTTAAAATTTTAATCCGTTAACATAATGGAAAACCCGTTGGTGCAATAACGACTGGTGTAGTTCATTGTGTATAACTGATTTTTTCTTAGAGTGTAGAAAGGTAGATTGTCGCGAAATAAGCTTTTTAACTTCCATAAATTGAAATGGCGCAGCCGGCACTCTATTATTATTTATTTTTGCTTATTATACTCGCTTATTATTTTGTTTTGCTTTCAGTTGTTGTAAGGAAGTGAGCTTAAAAAGGCATTTTAGTCTAACTTAATTATTTAGCCAATAAAAAATAAGTTTTTATTACGTTTTTTATTTCCTTTTAATTATGCCTATTAAACCTACTTAATCTGTTATATGAGTTTTCTGACCGATTGCTATATTACTATATTTTAATATAATAAACGTTTATTAAACGTCGATCAAACGTTTAGAATAACGACTTATATTAGTCAATATTGTAAACGTTTGATCCGCGTTTAATAAACGTATTTATTAAAAGATTTAATGCGTATGTTTTAAATCTATAAATGTTTACGTTTAATTACAATATTGACTAATGTAAGTCGATAAAACGTTAGATCGATAAACGTTAGTCGATAAACGTTAGATCGAGGTTTAGTAAACTTATATATAAAAAAGTTTGAAATATACATTTTAAATCAAGCGTTTGACTCTTATTCAATAATAGGTCGCTTAACGTTTTATATATATATATAAATATATATATATATATATATATATATATATTTATATATATATATATATATATATATAAATATATATAGTTCTAAATCAATCTGTGTTTACTAGGTTATATTCTGAACTTTACAAAACTTTGGTTCATGACAAAGATAAATTTGCTTTTTGAATATCAAAATCGCTTTTTGCATTTTTTTAACACTTATGATTCGAAATTGCACTGTGGAGCGCTCGTTTTCAAAATTAAAACGAATTAAAAATAAGCAAGGAATTACCATATTTCAGGAAAGATTAGACATTCTGAGCTTGATGTTTTTTGAATCAGATATTCTTCGCGAGATCGATTTTGGTAATATAATAAACGATTTTATTGATAAAAGATATAGGTAAAAAAATATTTAAAGGCATATTGTTTAACAATGCCAATTTCGTAAATTTTAATATCCTTTATAAGTTGTTTTTGCGAATGCCCTAATTATAAACGAAAAGAAAGTTGTGTGGGATATATTTAAAGAAAATGTGGTATGTTTGAAAAAAATAATAAATGCCAGATTTATTACATAAGTTTTTATATTTTTGAAGAAAAGACTTATATGCATTGGTAATTATTTAAATTATTGATTGCATTACAAATTTCCTTATCACTCAATAAGCTTACAAATAAAAATTTTTCAATGCAAAAATGGTGCCCCAAAATGTTTTAGTACCTCGGTCAGTTTTTCTTAATTCGGCGCTGATTGTATTATTAGTTTTTTAAATTTCAATATAGTTACAGATATGGTCGAATAATAGATACAGACAGATGGAACATTATGGGTGGAACGTTCCCCTTGGCCCTTCAGAATTACAAAATAACTGATCATCGTAACTTAATGTATTATTTTTTAAATGCTCTAGTTGTTACTTACTTACCTGACCAATAAAAATTTAAATACAAGTATCCTTAAATATTTAAAACATAAATTAAAAAATTGAAAGGTAAAAACTTACAGGTATATTTCTAAGAGCTGAAACTCCTATTTTACATGCAATTATAGTAACTGTAAATGAAAAGCCAAAAACTGCATAACCAAGGTAGATTAAAGTTGAACTTGTTCCTGGCTTCATCGATTCTATGTTATATAAATTAGTTAGTTAATTTTATTTTTTTAATTTTGCGTAACTTACCTTGACAATTAGGAAATAACGACAACGAGAACGTCAAAATGATAAACGTTTTAAAAATTCTTGGTTTTTGCTAACCTTTCTGTTATCGAACAGCGATTTTTTTTTAGTATACTTATTTTATTAAAATCATTCATAACCTGCATGAGTATTTTGTTTGCTTGTAGAAAAGTTTGTAACAAAATAAAAATGTAAAGCATAAAAACTTTTCAATTAAACAAGTGATCCAAAAAAAAAGGTTACAATACATTTTCTGTCCTCAATGGTACAAAACTTTTGAAACTACCAGCTATTTTACCTAAAGTATTGCAAAATAAATAATCGTCGCAAAATCTAACCCATAAAGAGTAACATCCATTAACAATAATCCAAACAGTATTATTTTATGCAAGAAATTATTTTATTTAAATTATTATTTTATTTAGAAAAAAAACAACCTCCACAGCTTTAAGAAAGTTAAAGGATATTTCAAAATACAAGTTTGTTTCTAAAAAAAAAAAAAAATCTCTCTACATTATGGTAGGATATGTCATTCTTAGTTAGGTACAGTTTTCTACCTTCCAAGAAAACTATACCTTTAAGGTATGGCATACGTTTATTTGTAAACCAATCTTTTACTTTTGAAGTTTAAAAAAAATCTTACTAAGGGTAGATCAAATATACTATCTTTAGGTACAATCTTATGCTTTTTTATTTTGTGTGTACACTGTCCTCCTAAACATTAGCAACCAAATAAAATAAAATAGTTTTTCTACTTTGATTATTAATTACAGCAATTTATAATCATTATTATTATTATAATGTTTTGAATGAAAAAAATGTTTAGTATTACATATAAAGTACATATAAAGACTTTTTGAAAATGAATGTTTTTTGCTTAAAATGGTATTTTAATGCAAAAAATGTGGCTATCAAAATTTTAGCAACTTATTTATAACTAAAATATTTAACAAATATTTTCTGCACAATATCTCCTTCGAATGAAAATAATGTCCAAGGGAATTGTAGTATTGTAATTATTAATACTTATCCAATGACAACTGACTTATTGTTAATTTTTGTCCAGAGAGAAAAATGGAGTGTTGCAATCATTACAATATTAATTTGAGATGCGTATTTATGCTATTTTTTTGGATTTTATAATGGCAGAAAACAAGTATAATTTAGCTTTTTGAACGTATTGTAAAACATTATAAGAAAGGAGTCAAACAAAAAGAAATTGCAACAAAATACTCCATTAGCAAGTCTATTATAAGTCGTATAATCAAACGATTTATTGAAGGCAGTCATTTAGAAACAGAACATTAATGTGGAAGACCACACAAAACAAATTCTTAAATAGAATTTTTTTGACAGTGCTAATGATATCATTAAAAAAACTGAATTTTTCTGTGTTTCAAAATACAGTTTGTCAACTTTTAACAACTTTTAGGACTTTAGAGCTTTAGAGCAGCAAAAATTTTTTTTCTCAGAAGAATCGTAAAGCCAGAATTGAGTTTGCAAATGCTCATGGAGACTGGACTATAAATAATTGGAATAGATTATTGTGATTAATTAAACTATAGTTTAAAAGGTCCTGATGGAAATTTAAAAGTAGGTAGGCCCAAAGGTAAACGCGTAGATCCTAAATACACAAGAGAAACAATCAAGCGCGTTGGTCAAAAAGTTGCAATGTTTTGGGGTTGTTTTTCTGTTTTAGTGGAGTCGGACCTATTTACAGAATAAATGGTATTAGGGATTGATATATTTATTGTGATGTTCTCAAAAATAAAGTGATTTCTCATGCTGATAATAATATGTCTCTTTTATGGACATTTCAACAATGCAACAACCACAAACTTTGGTTGCTAATATTTTGGAGGACGTGTATATATGCAATTTTTTTCGACCTATATTTTAATTTTTTGTTGTTGAGTTGTTATACAAAAAAGACACCTTGCCACCGTCGCCATCTTGCCTCATCTTCCTCTATATTGTTATTATTGCTATTATTATTATTGCTATTATTATTATTATTATTATTATTATTATTATTATTATTATTATTATTATTGTTTGTTACTATTGCTGTTGATACAAATTTTATGAAAAGGTTTTTGATTTGTAGCTACTTTTTTTGAAATTTTACCAACTTAAGAATACGAATACTTATTTTAGATTTGTTGAGGAAATGTTATTTGGATTTAACCATGTTAGCGTATGTGAGCGGAATAAGATTTTGAAATTTATTCGAATTTAAGCTTCTCTTTTCCTATAAAACAATCACTTTTTGGGTATATTTTTTGTTGTTTGTGTAGTAAGATTAACATATAAACAAATTCTATGTGTTGACCAGCTACGCACCCTTTCTTCATCTATTAGGCTGAAACAGATGTATTTTTAATACATTTATTCCAGTTTAGGATGTTGAATGCTGAATCTTCTTGAAACAATTCATAGGTTTTGCTTGTGTCTCTGTTTTTTTGACTAGGCAACTCATTCTGTCGTCTACTAATAAGAGTACAGCTATAAAACTAAAAGTTTTATGGTTCTGAGGCTGGCTAAAAGTTAGGTTTCCCGAACTCTGTGGTAGCTCTCAGAGAGTCTGATTCCATCAACGGCTTAAAAATATTAGAGTATTTACAGTGCCATGTTGCGCACGGATGGTATCCCTGTTTGTACTTTTAATGTGCATTGTCAAGGTCAGGTTTGGAGTCTTTTGTTACGGCTTAGGGTTTATTAATAGCAATGAGGCAATTACTTGGGCTATTAAATAGTGTACTGAGTACTACCTATGCTGTGATTCAAGTTCTTTAGCAAAATGAATAAAGTAACAAAAACTATAAAATACAAAAAACCATCGTTATCACCAAGTAATCTAAATCTATCATTCACTAATATTCGTTATCTTTGAAGAAAGTTTTCTTCTGTTGAGTCTTATCTTTTGCAAAGTTCACCAGACCTTCTTGCTCTTTGTGAGACTAGTTTGATTTTGGCTGTCTTATCTTGTGATCTTTATGTTGACGATTATATTCCTTTAATTCCTAAAGACCTCTATAGTCACATGATTGGCCTGATCATATACGTTTGTATGAATTCACCAATTTGTCGGTAAACTAAGTTTGAATCCACAGACTAATCTTTTATGCGTTTTCGTTTAGCACCACTTCACTCTATCGTTTTTCTCTTTGTTTTATATTGCTTTCCTTCATCTCAAGACTGCATTCTTTTTGATGTCATTTCTCATCAAATTGACAAACCCCTCTTTCTTTATATTGCTGTAGTTGGTGACTTAAATATTCATCACACTGAATGTCTTGGCTTTAGTGTCAGTGACTCTGCAGGCGTTAAGACCCACAACATTTGTCTTTCTCAATCACTAACTCAAATAGTCAACTTTCCAACTCGCTTTTTAGACAACTCAAATCAAATCATTACCTTCTCTGCGTTGACTTTTGTCTTGTTTTTTATCTTAGTAAACACTCAGTTTCTCCGGATTCACCCTTAGGTGCCTTTGATCACGGTTTAATCTCTTTAAAACTATTATCTTGCTCTTCTTAACTTGTACTTCTAACAACTATCTTAAAGCTGACTCTTTCCGTGATTTTATTTCTGATGGTCCTTGGGTAGAAATTTTTTGTCTCCCTGCTAATAAATATGCTTCTTACATAATTTCTTAGATTCAGGCTGGCATGGAATCTTTTATTCCCTCTCGGCAATTCTAGGTCAAGACTCACTCTTTTTCATGGTTTTCGTCACATTGTACTGCTACAATTTCCAATCGAAACTTTTAATTTTGTATCTATCAGCAAAACAATTTTTCAGAAAACAGACGTCTGTTTACTATTGCTAGAAACCATTGTAAAAAGGCTTTGTCTAACGCCAAAACCCGATCTTTTTAGGCCATGAAATCTAGTATTTCATCATAAAAATAGGTTCTCGTTACTTCTGAAGAGTCTTTTAAAGTATCAATAATAACAGCAAATCTGCTAATCGACTTCTCTTATATGATTCAGACTTTGTCACCTCACCTAAAGAAGAAGCTAAATTGTTTCCTAAGAGCTTTTCATCATATCATCTCTTGATTCCACTAGTTGCGTTCCACTTGATATAGCCGTCAAACAGTTTGATCAATTGCTAGACGTTTGTATCACTCTAGCCTCTGTATCGAAAGTAATTTCCTGCTTAAACTCTTCTACAGCTTGTGGTCCGGACAACATACCTGTTATAGTCTTGCAGAGGTGTTCTCCGGAGGTGTCATCTATACTTTTAAAACTATTTAACAAGTGTTTATCAGAGTCTTATTTTCCAGCATGCTGTTATACCTATTTTTAAAAATTTTAGAGAGCGATCTTACTCGTCAAACTACCGTCCCATTACTCTATTTTCTATCATAAGCAAGGTTTTTGAACCCCTAATTAACAAAAACTTTATCTCTTATCTTGAATCTAATAAATTACTTTCTGATCATCAATACGGATTTCGATCTTCTCGTTCTACAGCTAACAGGAAAAATCGATAGGTTTTATCGTACATTAGATAGAGGCAGAGAGGTTTATTGTGGAGAGAAGACTATTGCCCTTGACATTTTTAAAGCTTTTGATACAAATTTGGCATGCTGGTTTTCTCCATAAGCTTTCTTTTTATAGTGTATTTGGTAAAATCTTTAAAATTATTGAATCCTTCTTTTCCAATTGTTTTATAAAAGTTGTCCTCAATGTACAGCACTCTTCTTCTTATCGTATTATTTTAGGGGTTTCTCAAGGTTCAATTCTTAGCCCTATACTCTTTTTAATTTATATTAACAATCTTCCAGATATTCTCAAATCTAAGGTGGCATTGTTCGCTGATGATACTACCATTTATTCTTGTCATGATAGGAAGCTAACATTCTCTGATTGCTTGGAGGGGGCATTTGAGCTTAAAAAGGATCTCTCTTCTGCTACATCATTGGGCTCACAGTGACTGGTAAACTTTAATTTTGATATAACCAATTCTTTTTAATTAATTGTTATAGCAATAATTTAGATCTTCCTACATTTATGAACGGTAATGTACTCTATGAATCATCAACCGTTCATCTTGAAGAATTAACTCTTACTTCCAATTTTTCTCAAAAATCGTATATCAAATCCATTGCAAAATAAGCATCTGCTAATATTGCATCTCTTTATTGTGCTAGACACTTTCTTAAACCGGATTCTATTCTTTATCTCTATAAATCTCAAATCCGTCTTGTATAAAATACTGTTGCCTAATCTGGGGTTGATCTTCTAATGATGCCCTTTCTCTTTTATACAAGATGCAAAAATGCATAGTAAACATAATTGGAACTGCTCTTGCAGCCAACCTCCAACCATTATCACATCGTGGTAATGTTGCTTCTCCTCCTCTTTTCTACAAATTCTATATTAGGAACTGCTCTAAAGAGCTTGCGTCTCTTGTGCCATCAACTAAAATTCATTCTGGTGGTGCTCGTCATTCAATTAAGTCTCATGTTGTCCCCTGCAAAACAAAAGTATTTTTCGTCATCAATTAATGGAAGCGGTTTTGTGTTATAGAGTTAATTAACTAGTTTCCTGCTTCTTTTCTTTGCCTTTAACTGTTGTTCTATAGTGTATTTTGGAGTCTTTATTATTCATTTTTTTTAACTGACGACCAATTATCGATTAATACACACCAAATTTAAAACTTATTTTTCTCTGATGAACCACTTATTAATTGTTGACAAGTCTCGTTAACTCGGCTTTTTTTTCTCTAGTCCAGGATGTTGGACGCCCAGGGTGCTTTCTATCAGAAAAAAATTGAATAGTGTCAAGTCTTTTTAGGTAATCATATATTGCACTTTGAGCAAATTCTTCATTTTCAAAATGATTTACAATTTCTTTTTTTTTATATAATAGGTTTATTGACAAAAAATATTTTGAGTCGCTTTCAAAAAGATTCTCGCACGCCTGCATTTGACCTCATTTTAAATAATTGTGTTTCAAATAATAAAATTCATATGTTATACAACCCAATAATTAAGTCAGATAACCTCCGCATCAACTGTTATTAATCCCCTATTACTAATAATTAACTATTACTTCATTTTTATTGTAAAATAGCTTCGTCTCAATTCTTTACTTTGTTACAAAAAAATAATGTTTTAATTCGCAACATTACGTCTCGATTGTTTTTTTTTTTAATTATTAAAATGTAACCAATCGAGACATAACACAACGTAACTATATCTTGATTTAAAACGTAACTAAAATACATCTCAAATAAAGTTTTTTTCAACGTTTCTTCACGTCTTGGTTTTTTTGGTTACGCTTTAGTAGGTAAATTAAAAATGTCTTGTTGTAACGTGAAAAATACTTACATATGTGACGTATTTTAAGTGTAATTTAAAAAGTATTTATATATATATGTATATATATATATATATATATATATATATATATATATATATATATATATATATATATATATATATATATATATATATATATATATATATATATACGTGTATTAATATATACTTACTGGCTTGAATAGTGTTTATAACCCTAGCAATCAATAAACCAAGTATTGTCATTATGTTTGCAGCAGCATTTACCATAATCTAAAGTGTTATAAAAAATCAATTTTAAAATACATTATATATGGGCCATAGCGAAGGAGTAAAGGTGGACCGATTGAGCTATGACCCATAGATTTATGCACGAGGACCTTTTTTATATATCATAAAGTAGTTTTTAGTTTTGCTTTTCTTTGTAATTTATATATTTTCAGCGTTTCAGTCCCCCACTCTCCCACTAAAATGTCATTCCGTGGCCTATCAAAAAGGTTTGTTACATTTTTCTATTTGAAAATTCATAAAACTAGAAGAATTCAAAAATTTGAAGTCAAATTAAAAAGTATAAATTTTAGAATAAATTTAAGATCTGAATACTAAAAGGCTGAAATACTTTGATTCAAAGATATTATTTTTAGAGTATTTTTAAATAAATAGTTACAAATACTTTTTAAAAAAATAGGCTATAGCCTGTGTTTTTAACTATAACTATAAATATATTTATAGTTTTTTCATCTACTCAGTGTAATGGTTGTTAAAAAAGTAAATTCTACAAATAAAACGCCTTTTTCTCCTAAAACTCATTTTTACGATCAACTGTATTTTATAACTTTCAAGGAGATTTTATTGCTTGACATTATCATAAGGTGACCATATCTGAAAAATGAATTACGAGAAATAAATTTGATATATATAAATCTATAAACAAATGGTATTTAAATTAGACCCGTAGTTAGAACTTTTTAAAGAGGGACTATTTTTTCAAAAAGCGCCAAAAAGTTAAAAAAAGACGCAGAAGGCAATATTTTTTTGGGGCATAATAACCACCTATTATTGATAAGATTTTAAATAAATTTAATGAAATGGCATCATTATATATTTGAGGACAGTTTCGCCTTACCCTTTTTTTATGGTGCTGTACTATTAAAATATTTGAATATATAAGATAATAGTTTTTTATTTATTCAAAATATTCTATTTCAATATTTTAGTGGTCTAATAAGACTAGGCATGGGGTAGCATGTGCTTCCTTGTCTCCCTCTCCCTCTCCCCCTTCCCACTCCACTACCTACGGGATTGATTTAAATTGTTTTTTCTAAAAGTTTTTTTGAATAAATATTTATAAAAGTTTATTTATTTTAAAATGCATGTGGAAAAAATTAAATTATGGAAACAATTTTAACCAATTTTTGCATTTTTAAATCGCAAATACATTTCGAAAGAATGGGCTCTTTTCAGCTAACTGTCATCTTTTTCAAATTTTTATGCAAATTTTGAGCGGTTTTATTAAATTTAACGAACAAAATAGCTGCCAAAGTCCTCACTTTAAGTTGAGATTGCTCTACGGAAGCATTCGACCTGGCAAATATAAAGTTGTTTCCACCAATTATAACAATATGTAATAAGGAATGTGATAGTTTTCAAAATTAAAAAATATTTCAACCCGTCGCTTGACACATTCAACAGACTGCGATTTCCAGTAAGAAAACCTTTTCTCCATGAATTCTATTGTATTTTTTTTTTTCAAAAAAATTTTATTTTTAATAAATTCAATCCATCTAAATTACATTTAAGTAAAAACCATTTAAAATCTTTAACTTGATTTAATGGGCCAACCTACCCACGAGGTAGGTTCGCCCATTCAAGTTCATTCAAAGGTTGTTTTTACAAAATTTAAAGCATGTATTATTAAAGTAATGTTTAAATTATTAAAGTAATTAAATGTTCCACAATTTAAATTGATGGTTTAAATAAAAAAAAATTTATACTCTAAACAATGACATTGGGGCAGGATGGCCCAATGCAACCGGGGTACGTTGGCCATGGGGGTCATTTTTTTCCGTAGATTTTTTTAATAACTTATCTAGATTTGTGTCGAAAAACACAAGTTTAGATAAGTTATTAAAAAAAGTTTTTGTTTTTAAAAGTTTAGAAGTTGTAAAACGGAACATAGTTCTCGATGTTAATATGAAAAGCATAACTTCAATAAATTATTTTAAAAATATAGTTAAACATTATTTACATAAATTAGTTTACCTTAGTTAGGTAAAATAAAGTTATGGATAGAGCACTTGTATTTATGAAATCTTTTTTCTTGAATTTATGAAATCATGTTTTAAAATCAGTTATTAAAGGATTTTGAAAGCATCTCATTTTGATATTTAAACATGAATTTCGGAACAGGTTTAACTTATAGACATAAGGATCTTTAATTTCACGGAGTAAAGGCTTAGAGTGAGCGTATTTATTCACATTACATGTATTTCTGCTGGTTAATATATATTTTTCAACGCTGAAGGGCAAGTACTTGCCTAAACAATATTATAATAACTTATGTACCAATGGATAAAAGTTTGATATAAATCCATAAAAATTTTTTACTTCTTAGATGTTTCGATTTTATGCATAATGCGTATAGTTTTGGAAATTTTGTTTTGAGTAAGCGTAATAGGGTTTTTTCAATTAGGATGTTTATCAAATATTATTTCTCTGCTCACTATATTTTTATTTATAGTAAGCTGAAGAAGTTGCAGAGGCAAGTTGTTTTAGTTGCAGAGGATTTTGGTTAGTGATTAAATATAAGAGTTATGATATTAAAACATATTAATATTATATTATAAGTTTGATACTCAAAGAGAGTTTGTTTGGTTTGATCAAGTTATGACGGTTTTCCAGCTCACAATTTACTGTAGAGAAAATTGTTTTTATATTGGAAAGGGTATAAAAAAGTGTCATCAGCAAAAAGAACAAAAATGTTTAAGGATAGGTAAATAAAAGTTACATTAATCAGAAACAGTAAGGGTCAAAGAATTTAGCCTAGAGGAGCTACAAAGTTACCTTAAGGTAACTTTGTAGCCAATTTAAGTTGCTATTTATTATTCCATATGTTTCTTGAAAGATTTGATGGTTAACAGTGTCAAAAACTTTTGACACGTTGATAATTAAGCCAAGAGTATGAATTTTTTAGCAAACCCGGGAACCAAGCTGTTTGCTAAATATGATACTATGTGTTTTAAGATAACTATGTAGTCTGTTATACGTAATAAGTTCAAGCAACTTTGAAAAACAAAAAAGAATAGATTCAGATTTGTGTTTAGATGGTATAGAATCATCACCGTTTTTGTATGCAGGGACATTTCTTGTTATTTTTAATTGACAAAGAAAAATGCTAGTCGTTATTGAAAGGCTGAAGATAAACAAATGAAGTAATTCAAAAACTTTAAAATTGCTGTTAGAACATTACCATTTACATCGTTCCGGCACTTTTATTTATTTTAATGGATGCCTTAAGTTTATTTACAGACAGTACCGAGCCATTAAATAGTGAGTTTTTTTTAATAGGATCGGAATGTTTTACCAGGAGTTATATTTGCTGCTAGTTTTTTTTTATGTTTATACAAATTTTTTTTTTTAACATCTTCGCTTCCAACAAGGCTGCAAGCAACCACTAATTAGTGTTGGAAGTTACTGGAAGAGAAAAGATGAAGATTGTAGAGCAAGATAACGATTGACAGACAACTTAAAAGATTGCAAATTATAAGAATCAGGAAAGCAAGATGAAGGAGGCGAATTCTAAAGAACTGATGTTCGATGAAAAAAACTAGACGAATAAGAGTTTTTGAAGCACTTAGGAACAGTAACATAAAAAGGATGAGACTTAATTTAATGACGAGTAACACGAGAATGAATTTAAGTAGATGGCACAAGAGACGCCAGCTCTTTAGAGCAGTGCCCATTATAGTATTTGTAGAAAAGAGAAAGAGAAGCAACAATACGGTGATGTGACAAAGGTTGAAGGTTGACTGCAAGAGCAGGTCCAACTATGTTTACAATGCGTTTTCGCACCTTGTCTAAAAGAGAAAGGGCATCATTAGAAGATCCGCCCCAGATATGGCAACAGTATTCCATACAAGGTCGGATTTGAGATTTATAGAGATAAAGAATAGAATCCAGAGTAAGAAAGTGTCGAGCTCAATAAAGAGATACAGCTTTAGCTTTGTTGAAATTTTCAGCAATTTCTTTCTTGTCAAACATTTCTTGAATCAAGTTTAGCTTTAGTCTATTTGGAAAAGCGGTGTTTTTTTGTAAATGTTTCAATCTTGTAACTTCTTTAATCATTCCCTTTGGCTTTTCAGTATTTCCTATTGACTGTTCTAAGAGGTTAGAATAATAACTTTTTTTTATTTGCTTTTTTAATCTTTAAAAATAATTTTTATACTTTTTGTATTTAGTTTCATTGTTGTAAGTTATGTTGTTATTTTTTTTTTTTTTTTTTATAGAACCTTATTTTTTCTGGATGATTTCTTCGTTTTTTCTAAGACCATTTGTCATCCACAGGTTATTAAAGATTTTGGAATTTGTATTTTTTTAATTTTTGGAAAGGGTCTTTTGTATTGTTTAAAAAACAACCTTAAAAATAAGTTTTATGCATCATTGCACTTAGCTAAAAGATTCCAATCAATTTCTGTTAATATTTCTCAAAATTTTGTAATAGATTGGTTGTTTATTTGTCTTCTATGAAGCACCGAATCGGGGACACGGTTGCAATCCAACTCGGACGCGGGGACTCTGCAAAATTTTTAAAAGTACGACACGACTAGGCATAGATAAGCCATGCAAAGCCGAGATTTTTTATAGTTGAAATAAATAAATAAGTCATTTTACTAAAAGAAAAGTAAAAAACGTAGTTTGTCATTTATTCATACTAAAATTGTTTCCAAACATAATAAAAGAAAATACAGTCATACAACAAACAAAACATAAAAGATAAATCACTCAATGTTCTCAATATTAGATCCGATATCATTCTCTAACTCTGGTTCATTAAGGAAAAACTTTGCTTTTAGTTGCTCTGTTTATTTAATATTTTTCTTCAATTTATATTCTTTAAAAGTTTTCATTGTTTTCACTTAATTAGTTTTTTGTAAATCTTTTACAGTAAAAATTTTTATATTTTCTTTCTTTTTTTCTTTGTTCTATTTTTGAGCTTTTTGCCGTTAAAAAAATATTTACTATTTACTACATTTACATTGTCATATATATATATATATATATATATATATATATATATATATATATATATATATATATATATATATATATATATATATATATATATATATATATATATATATATATATATATATATATATATAGTATATATATAGTCACGGACAAAATTAAGTAACATTATTGATAAAATCGAAACTCGAACAATAAAAACAAAATTATTTAAGTCAGGATCTACGCAACTGCAATAACTTTATGTTTTTTTAAAAATTTGATTCCAAAGAAAAAAGTATATATTTTTAACTCTTTATAACTCATTGCAAAAGTAACTCTATTAAACGAAATTAGCTATCTTACAACTTTTTTGTCCAAAATAAATGCGACATAAGTAAGAAACATCTTTTTTTATTAAAATTTTTATTATGAAATATAATGTTTTGTCAGTAATATATATTAAAAATACAAGAATATCATGTCTGATTTTCATTTTAGTACTTTGTTGCACCACTTTTTGCTTTCGCGACTGCTTCTAAACGTCTTGGCATGCTTTTTACAAGCTTTGACGTGACGTCAGTACCAACTGAATTCCAAGTTTCACTAAAAACCTCAAAAAATTCTTTTTTTTTTGTTCGTTTTGAAGGAGGTATTTTATATTTTAAAACTGCCCATAAATTTTCAATGGGGTTAAGGTCCGGGCTTTGTGGTGGCCATTTAAGAATGTTAACTTTACTTTTTTTGAGGAAATGTTGTGCCACTTTGCTGGTGTGGTTGGGGTCATTGTCTTGTTGAAAAAAGAACTTGCAATCTAAATTCAATTTTTTAGCGGATTGACATAAATGTTTGGAAAGCAAATCAACATACAATTGTCCTGTCATTATACCTTCAACATTTACCAGTCTTCCCACACCATATAAAGCAAAGCATCCCCAAACCATAATTGAGCCAACTCCATGCTTGACAGTTTTTCTAATATTTCTATCTAAGAGTGCATCACAAGGTCTGCGCCAAACTCTTTGTCGTTTTTTAAAGCCATATATTTGAAATTTACTCTCATCAGACCATAACACTGAGTTCCAAAATGCCTCATCCTTGTTAATATGCAGTTTTGCAAATGCTAAGCGTTTTTTTTGTTTATACCACTAATGAGGGGTTTACTTTTTTGAAGACGGTTTATTAAACCACTTGAATTAAGTCTTCTCTGTACAGCTCGACTGGAAACATTTAATTTAAGATTTTCAACAATCTGTCTTGAGGTTATTGTTGAATTTTGTTTTGCTATTCGCGCAATTAGCATATCAGTTCTTGTTGAAGTCTTATGGGGGCGACCAAATCTTTTCTGATTTTCAACAGAACCAGTTGTTTCAAATTTTATACATCTTTCTAACACCACTTATTGATATTTGATATTTTTCTGCACATTGCTTGTAGGTTAGGCCCTTTTTTCGATCACAAATGACCCGAGATCGGATGTCCAATGAATAATTTTGATGATGAACCATTATTATTGTTAGTTTTACTTTTTCTAAAATTAAATTCCGAAAAAATAAAGTTTAAAATGCTTATTTTTAATAAATTTAACAAAATCTCTTTAATAATAATCATTTTTAATAAATAGCTATTGACAAAACATTATATTTCATAATAAAAACTCAAATGTTTCTTACTTTTGTCACATTTATTTTTGAAAAAAAATTTGTGAGATAATTTTGTTTAATAGATTAACTTTTGCAAGGAATTAAAAAAAGTTATAAATGTATTTATTTTTCTTAGGAATCAAATTTAAAAAAAAAAATAAAATTATTGCAGTTATGTAGATCTTGACGTAAATAATTTTGTTTGTATTGTTAGAGTATCAATTTTATCAACAATGTTACTTAATTTTGTCCTTGACTGTATATATATATATATATATATATATATATATATATATATATATATATATATATATATATATATATATATATATATATATATATATATATATATATATATATATATATATATATATATATATATATATACATATATATATATATATATATATATATAAATATATATATATATATATATATATATATATTTATATATATATGTATATATATATATTTATATATATACATATTTATATTTATATATATATATTTATATATATATATATTTATATATATATATATATTTATATATATATATATATATATATATATATATATATATATATATATATATATATATATATATATATATATATATATATATATATATATATATATATATATATATATATATATATATATATATATATATATATATATATATATATATATATATATATATGACATTGCAAATGTAGTAAATATTTTTTCAACGGCGAAAAGCTCAAAAATAGAACAAAGAAAAAAAGAAAGAAAATAGAAAAATTGTTTACTGTAAAAGAAAAATATTTTCTATTTTTGTTTATACTGTCATGTAACTTTGTGCATAGTTTATATTGACGTGTTCATATGTGTATTATTATGCTTTTTTTTTTTTTTTTTTTGTGGTGTTGTTGCTAATTATTTTTATTAGTGCGTTTTACATTTCCTGCTATTATTTAAGTAATTTCAAATTTTTTTGTTCTATCATATATAAATGTATCCTTTTATTTATTTTTTTTCATTTTCTATCACTCTTTTGACCATTAAACGTTGTGTTATCTCATTCATTCATTGTCTCTAAACTTAGCTCATTCACTTTTTCCTTTGTTATTAGTCTAGCTTTTTTTCTTAGTTATTATTATCCTTTTTGTTATAACTATTTTTTGGTCACTATCTATATTATTACTTTTTGTTGCTTATTTGCTTTTCCTTTATTTGTTTATTTTATTAAGGTGTCACACCAATGAATATTTCTTAACTATACAAGTGACACCAAACCTAAGTTTGTAAATTCTAAATAAATCTTTATTTTTTTTTCAATGTTTTGGTTAAATAAATAGATTAAAAGAAATTTTGTATAACTTTATACATAACAAGGGTTTCTTTCAAGCAAACTTGATATTGAACATAAGTTGCACATTCTAACACCTAGTGCAATAGTGTCTGCTGTGTCTATGTTAACTTTTTAACTCGACTTCTTCTAACTTTATCTCTAATACCTTGTGTGTATATATATATATATATATATATATATATATATATATATATATATATATATATATATATATATATATATATATATATATATATATATATATATATATACATATACATATATATATATACATATATATATATATATATATATACATATACATATATATATATATATATATACATATACATATATATATATATATACATATATATATATATGTATATATATATATATATATATATACATATATACATATATATATATATATATATATATATATATATATATATATATATATATATATATATATATATATATATATATATATTGTAAAATTTACGTAAATTATTTAAAACTTTATCCATAACATGGGTTCCTATCAGGTAAACTTGATATTGAACATAAATTGCACATTACACCTTGTTTTATCGTCGCGTCCATTTAATTTAATAACGTTTATAATCTATAGCTTTATATATTCTTTCTAACATCCTATACAAAAATCTTTTCTCTATATATATTAAATTAAAAAGTCCCATGAGAATATACTGTTAACTACAGTTGAAACAACTTACGTAGATGCGTGACTTTCAACACGCATCTACGTGATTTCTAACACGTACAATTCACCAACATAATAATAGAACATGCCCTTTTGGTGAATTAACTCATAAGTCTAATCTTTGTGGGGGCTTTATTGTTCGTCCGGAGCGTGTTACTTGCAGCACGTTGAGTTCTTGAGAATCATTTTGAACTTGAGCGACATCATCATTATTACTTCCTTTAACGTTATCAGTTTTATCGTTTAGTCTATAAAAAACATCGTTGACTGATTCATTTGAACTCTGTACGTCTGTACGGCGACGCAGGTGTGAAATGTGACGCGGATATACCCGATTCGCAGTTTCCACGTCAAACGACAAAGTATATACTTGGCGTTAAGTATATACCAGGCGTAGTACGAAAGCAAAATATTTTGCTTTCGTACTACGCCTGGTATCCACGGCTGGTCACATTTTGTTTCTTGAGTTGGTTTTACCCAAACTTTGTCACCCACTTTGAATTTCTTGCTTACGCCTTTTTCGTCTACCTTCCTCCGAGTATCGACGCCTGGGATGAAACATGTTGATCTTTTCTTGAATTGCTTGGATGGACTTTCAGTACAATTGGATGATATTGTCTCGTTGTACAGCAAGACTGCCAGAGCAATTGAACAATGTGAGCAAGCGACCGTTCTTTTTATCGTTCTGTGTATACGTTCAACTATACCATTACCTTGAGCTCGATGTGCTGCTCGATATTCCAAATTAACATGCCATTCTTCAGCAAAACTTGTTAACGTGTTGGACCGAAATTCGTTGTCCATTAAAAGACATACTGGCGGACCAAATAAAGAGAATATTTCTTCGAGTCTACCAATAACTTCAGCAGCTGCTTTAGTTGCAAGTTTACGCCATATTGTATACCGTGATGGACCACAGTCAATCATTGATAAGTACAGTTCAGCACCTACATGCGTCACGTCAATGGCAACCCAATTCCAATTTTTTTCTACGCTTAGTTGGCCATTCTTCCACTTTACGGAGTAAGGATTAATGGAGTTACACTGGTTACAATTCGCAATTACTGCTGAAACCTCCTTACGTGATACATTCTGATTATTTCGCAAGCAAAGTTGTAATGTTCGAGCAACACCAAAATGACCAATTGAATGAATTTTCCATATGTCTTTTTGTTCAAGTAATCCAGCTGCACACACTGTTCTGCACCATTTTTGAGGGATTCGTGAGAGTCGATCAGCCAAATTTATCTCAGATGGAATCCATTGTACTGCGATCTGAATATCTTTTGCCACTTCCTTAATAGTATTCAATCGTCTTTGTACTAACAATTGAGAAATTCCCCGAGTTTTTACACGATATTCTTCCTTCAAAACTGCGTTTAACCATCCTACGGTGCTCTTGCTATCACTGTATACTGTTAACTCTTTTATGCCCCACTTACTAGCTAAGTTTAGTCCTCGAAGTATAGAATCCAGTTCACTTATATTGATATGGTGTGTGTCACTCGCTGGCCGTAGCCATGCTGCGTCTTCAACAACTACTCCACCAATGAGCAGAACTACCCCAAGTCCTATAGATGATGCATCACAATAAAGTTCAGCTTTTCCATTAACTGGTACCAGCCATTTTTCACCAACCGGATCCTCTTTTTCCACACGGTAAAGCAACTCTTTCAGTTTTTCTTTACAATCTTCAGAAATAAAATCACGCCAAGGTATATTTCCAGCTAAACGTTTGATGTATGAAGCTTGTAAACGCAAACTTCCTGCCACTGGATAATGTCCAATAAGTTTGCCTAACTGGCTGAAAAGCTGTGATCGTGTGACTGCATTTAAAGATTCGAATTGTACCACATTGTCTCGTTTCCATATCAGTTCCCCATTTTTATTTCTTTCGACTCTCAATCCTAAGACACGTCCTTGTTCAAGATCTTGTGGAGGTTTACATTGTAATCCGAATTTAAGCAGATGCTTCGCTACATTTTTCGCAGTTTCCACACTTTCATCCACAAATATATCATCAATGTAGTTATCACATGCTTTCTTTACGGTTGGATTTAAATTGAGCACATGCCGAAGAATTGTGGTCATTATTGTTGGAGCCACATTGATGCCAAAACACATCCTGGTAAAACAATACCGTTGCCCATTTATAATCACCGTTTGATATGGCCAAAGTTTTTTATCAATATGAATTTGGAGGTAGGCTTTTTTAAGATCGAGAATTTTTGCATTTTTTATTTTTCTCCAGCAACGCAGTTTTTCTTGACAAACGTCCGCATTTGCCGTATGACAATTTACAAATTCGTTGAGAGCTCGGAAATCTCCCACTGGACGTACCTTTTTGTCCTTGTTTTCTTGCACTACGCACATAAGCGGTATCAATACTTTTGGTGGTCCCAATATTAGTTCGTTATATGGTACAAGAATACCAGAGTCAATCCATTCACGTATTTCTTTACGGTAACTACGTTCGTGCTCTTGGTTCATCTTGTATTCACAAATGGTATTATCAATTACAGGCTCTTTAATCCAGTTCCATGATGCCGTCCATTTTTATCCGTCGAACTTTGCTGTGAAGTCCTGATGTTTTATTTCGTTTCTTTCGTTCTCTTCATTTCTTGTTGTATTTTTGACATCACATTTTATTTTTTGTACTTCGTTTTCGCTTTTTCTTGTCGTATTAATAACATCAATTTTTAATTCGTTTATTTCGTTTTCGTTTTTTCTCGTCGTAGTAACGGCACCACATTTCGCTTTGTCACATGCTAACATTCGGACGTTACAGTTTTTATTACCATAAATGATAACTCCTCCAAATTTTTTAATTGCATTCATTCCAAAAATCAAATCAAACCCAAATGGTTTTTCTTTTACAACCAGAGAATTAATCATCCGGTGTATTCCATCAATTTCCAGATTGATTACCATTTCACCCAGCACTTGCACAGTTGTGATAAGTTTTTGACTTTTTAACACAGCTCATGCGCGGACTCAGCATGAACCACATTAATGGAGCATCCAGAATCAATTAATGCTGTTCGGAGCCTTTTATTTTCACTTTTAATGATGGCAACGTCATTTCTGGGAGAATACTGGATGCTATTATTTCCAGATTCTCCCTTTTCCTTTTAAACCTTGCAATCGTTTAAAGCAGTTTTTAGCTTGATGATCGTGTGAACAAGTCTTGCATTTTTCATCGCAGTTCCTTGCAAAATGTCCAAGTTTTCCACAATTGAAACATTTAACTTTGTTTATGTCGGACGCACCAGACGTCCGTGAAAGTAACGATGTTGCGCCAATCATTCTCGGAACCATCTAATTGTCGAGCTTCCTGGGTTACTCGTTTAAGGGTAACAGCTATTTCCACAGCCTTTTCAAAAGTTAGTTCTTCAGTTTCCAGTAGTAACCGTTTGATTGTAACACCATCGTTAAAACCTGTGATGAATTGATCGCGCATTCGATCATCTCTATCCGTAAATTTGCATCCTTCAGCAGCTCTTGTAATACGTCGTGAAAATTCTGTCACATTTTCGTTACTTGCTTTTTTTATAGTTGCAAATTCAAAGCGTAGTATTAACGATGACTTCGGTTTAAAAAGCTTCATGATGTTTTCCTCGATGTCTTCGTAGGTAACTGAGTCATCTTCAGGGTATGCAGGCAAGCATAGTTCTTCTAGTGCGGAATAAATCTGTGGTGGCAAACATGTTAATATTATTGTTTTTCTTTTGGATTCGGGTACGTCCATCGCAGTTATGTATGTTCGTAGTTGGCGGACGAACCGCTGATGGTTGCTATCGAATACCGGTGGCATAATGGCCGAAATAGCTTGTTTTATCGTCGCGTCCATTTAATTTAATAACGTTTATAATCTATAGCTTTATATATTCTTTCTAACATCCTATTCTAACAAAAATCTTTTCTCTATATATATTAAATTAAAAAGTCCCATGAGAATATACTGTTAATTACAGTTGAAATAACTTACGTAGATGCGTGACTTTCAACACGCATCTACGTGATTTCTAACACGTACAATTCACCAACATAATAATAGAACACACCTAGCATAATACTGTCCTCTGTCTCTATGCCAACCTTTTTACTGGACTTCTTCTAACTTTCTCTCTAACATCCTTCATTCTTCTAAAAATCACTTACTTTTGGTCTGCAAAGGGGTTATGATGCTATTTAATGAGCTGAACTGGTTTTTGTGGGCCTAGGTATGTAGATTCTATATAAGACAGTTTTTTGGAAGAGGATAAACCACATGGAGGATGAGCGCATGGAAAGAAGGTACATAATAAAATAGTATGTTAGATATTTACTTTATTGTAGTGCAGTCTAAAAAAGATGTATATTTAAATTATATAAAATTGTGGTTTTTGACAAAGTTTTCTGTAGAATAGATGTTTTGATGTTAATAATTGTTAAATTTTTATTTAATTATTTCTTTGTATTTATATTCATTGATTAATTTTGATTGTAACTTTATAAATGAAATACTTCTATTAAAGGTTTTTCTTAGGTTCATGCCTTGGTTTCCATTTCAACCCAATAATGAATTTTAAATGTACCTGCATCTGAATTTTCCATTGCTATGCTAGATGATTAGATAGATGTTTTCAAAGTTCCCTCGAAAAGCTGCAGGCTGAAATCATGCTGTCGGCTGTCGGCTGAAATTATGGATACACCTCACAAGAATGCTCCTCTTTTGCTACGAAAAACACAAAAGTACAATGATAAGGGTCATTTGTGATAATATACTTTTATACTTGTTTATAAAAAATCTATAACAATCCATAGCTTTTTCGTATTACCTGCAATGTATTCTTTAACTTTATCTGCTTCTAACCTATACTTCCTTCTATATCACTACATCCTGATTATCTGCAACTGCATGCTCTACATGCTTGCTCTATATACAATTTTTCAACATTACTTTCTTTTCTTTTATTTTTACTGTAAATAATGATTTATTATTCTTATCTAATTATTGGTATTTAGATGTATCGCAAAAATGAATCGTGAAAAATGAAGTTAATTTGAAAAGAAAAATTGGTAAAAAAGCAGTCGGACCTTACCCAAAAGTTTCAAGTTTCGTTAACCGACTAGCGCTTAAGTGGACTGAGCATCAATAGATCAAAAGACGTATTGTTTATGTTTATTATAACTATTATAACGGAATATATTTTAACAACTTTTATAATGTACTATAATTTGTCATAATAAAATATTATTTGTTGTCATAAATATTATATAGTATTTTAAATACAATATATATATATATTAACCACTATAATATCATATAATTTTTTTATAATTATTATAGCTATTATTACTTGATGTGTATCATATAATACGAGTAGTCTCGTAATAGTCAAATTACATTTTTATAACAACTCATAAGTTCTATTCATTTATTTTTGACTTTAGCGTAAACTCTGATAAATGAGTTAAGTAAATGTCTATTTGCTGAATTAACCCTCTAGTGCCCCAATTTTTTTTCTTCACCAAAAAATTATGCTAGGCTAAATTGAGGCTATTAAAACTCAATTTCAAGCTAATTTTTTTCTAAAGTAAAAAATATGACCTGACTTGGTTCGTATGCTATTGTCTATAGGCGGACACGAGCATTACGCTAAAATTTCTAGCGATGTAATTTTTACATGGATTTTTATAATACACGCCTTGAGGCGGTTTTGGGAACTAGAGGGTTAACAGAGTTTTTCCGTTAATTTGAATGTAAAAGATGAAAAACGGAAACCGTAAATTTTACGGAAAAGTGCTATCTCTTTGCTGCCTGACATTTTCCGTTATTTTGTACGGAAAAAATGAAATACGGAGACCGTGAATTTTACGGAGAAAGTTCTGTAACTTTTTTAACGAACTTTTTCCGTTGATTTTAACGGAAAATAGAAACTAAGGAAACCGTTAACTTTTACGGAGAAAGTGCTGCCGTAGTTTCTGCGGCGAATTTTTTTAACAGTACATTTAAGTGTGACGATTGTAGTTATTGTTATTCGTAATTACCTAACTTTGATAAATACCAAACATTGTTATACACAACTTCTTAGAAACGCATCAGGCACTTTTTTTGACATAAGCGAAATGAAAAAAACTGTTTTACCAACGCGTGGTATGTTTTTTGCCGTATTAGATATCATTTTTCAAAAGGAAAGGTTAAAAAACGGTTGTGCCTCCATATGCGGTTATGCCTCCACTTCCCAGTGCCGGATCAAGGAAATGACTATAGCCCCGAGCACTGCAAATTTAGGGGCCCCAAAAAATTTAGAAAACTTTTTTTTTTTTTTTAAAGGCATTTTTAGGTTCTGGTCCATTAAAAGGCTTCAAAAAACAAAAATAGCCCCAGGCTCCAAAAAGTCTTCATCCGCCACTGCCACTTCCCCTACATATTTTATCTTAATATAAAAATTTGTTCAGAAAGTTTATATAAAGGATCTGGTGGACCCTTACTTACAAAAGATCTGGCCTGCCAGATCCTTTGTAAGTAAGGGCCCACCAGATCATTTGTAAGTAGAGGTCCGCCAGATCATTTGTAAGTCATGTAAGTGGAGATCTGCAAGTAACAACGTTCTTTCAGGGGATAGTTATTTATTTGAAATAACTTGATATGCAATTTATTCGGCTGCTCTGGCATCATTTGCTGCTAAAGGTTTTCTATTACTTTATTTTAGCCAATTGATGGGGCAAACCTTTTTTGTTTCAGGTCTCACTTGTATAGAGTTAAAATTAAACAAAGGAGGGACTATAACTTTTTTCCCTCTTGTTTCTGGCGCAAAATTTTTCTACACGATTCTAAGAGCCCTTGTGATATCCAAAAATTATTTTTATTGATTTTTGTGTCGTACATTTGGCATATTTGATCTGCTAGAAGAGCTGTCTTAAATATATTTTTCAAACAGAGAAAGCACATAAATTTTTGATTTTCATCTTTTGCTTGATTTGGCATTGTGGCAATTTACTAAATCCAACTTTACTAAATCAAACTATCTCTTTTACAAAGTTTAACCTGAATTTATATTGTATAACAATCAATCAACATACCTATAAATATTATCAATTATAAACGATTAAAATAAAGGAAACCTTTACTTAAATTCAAAGGAAATAATTCTTAGATAATTTTTTCCTTTAAAGAAAATAATTATTCAAATAAATGACACTCACCATACATATTGACAATTAAGATGAGATTTTATTTGATGACATATTCATACAAAAAACTTTTACTGCTTATCAAAAAAAGACTCTCCATTTTAATGAAACTGTACCCTGACTGGCTCTCAAAACCTTTTATTTGTCAATTATTTTAGTTATCTTATCGAAAATTTTTTTTATCTTTTTGTATCTTTTGAAAGCTTTTAAACCATTATTTAACATTTTCATGCATTTTGACAGTAATTTATACGTTAGAAATTGCTGATATTTTCACGCAATGTACAAGCCAAGTCAAATCATGCTTTAAATAGCAAATCAATTTTTTGATCTATAAAATGAATAATGGTAGTTGTAGCAGTAAAGCAGTTATAACAATAATTGTTGGTTTTACATTATTTAAAAAATAGCGACCAAATATCACAGTAGTTAAGTGCTAAGGTATAAGTAACAATAAAATATATTTTAAATAATATTTGTGTAATATCAATAATAAAATAACAAAATATAATTTAAAACTTTCACAAGTGCACAAGTCTTAACCAAAATAATGTTAATTTAATTCTAAGACAACTTAAGCAATGTTGTATCGAGGTTAAAATTAACTGCTTCAAACATTTGGAACATTCATTAGACTGGAATCACAACAGTGCAGCAGCCTGATAATGAAGTTGCACGCAGAGGCTATTGCTAGATAGGTCGAGTAACATCAGCAGAATGAAGAGCATTAGTGACTATAGCTTTGGTGGTTAGTGCGATTGACAATCGAATACCTACATATTTTATCTTTCCCAGAGTTAGTTTTAAATCTCATTCGTTTAGAACAATTGGATGTGAAGGATCAGTACATTCTTCAGGGTGGATAACGGAGACAAATTTTTTTAAATACATCAAATTTTTAAACATCAAATACATCATTTTTCTATCAAAGTACGTTGTTTCAACAATTACCCTTGCCTGGTATTAATTGATTACCACTGCTTTCATCTTGATGCATTAGTACTTGATTTTTGTAAAGAAAACGGTATCACGTATTTATATTTTCCAGCACACTGTAGTCATAAGTTACAATTATTTGAGATAATTTTTTATGATTCTTTTAAAAAGTTTATAAACTCAGCATGAGATGCATAAACTACTGTAAACAAACAACCTATGACGTACCTGTGACGAACCTGGTATAGAAAAGACAGCACTTTCAAAATGCTATTACTCCAAGGAACATATTTAGTAGTTTCAAAGCAGCAGATATTTATCCATTTAACATAGATATTTTTTCATAGTGAATGATTTTTTGCTATCATTTTAAACAGATAGACCAGATCCAAGCACTGAAGTGTCATCTGTGGATTTTAGCATTACTAAACAAACAAACACCTAGCAATTAAGTTTCATCGGTGGATTGTAAACAAAAAAATTCCAAAAATTTAATTCATACAAATCAACATTTCAGAAGGGAAATTTTCCAGATTTAGACGGCTACTCCAAGCCTTTTACTCATCTCCTGAAGAAGTGAGGCCTTTTGAAAAAGCTCAGCCTAGAAAAAACACAATTAATAAGCCCAGATTTTGGAAACAAATTTCCGCTGTATAAACTGATACGCCAGCTATAAAAGCCTTGTTAAAGGAACAAAAAGCAGCAAAAGAAAAAAAAACGAAATGTATAAAAATATATAA